GCTCTAGCCACATTTTTTATTTAAATTTTATTTTTAGACATTTTAATTAAAATATACATACATCACTTTCCCACTTCCTTGTTCTCTCTCTATCCCTTCCCAAATTCTTCCCTTTCAATTTCTTCCTTAAAAGTATGTGTGATTAAGTATACACAAATATCTCAATAAAACCTGCTGAGTCCATTTCTGTTGGTTGTGTGTATATGGTTTCAGAGCTGAACACTGCATTGGATATGCAGTTAGAGAGCTCATCCCTGCCTGAGGCGAATTCTGAAGGAGAATTTCACTCTTTAATGAGCAACAGGAATCTGACCCAGAAGTGACCTAGGCTACCTTGAACAGGAAACATTATCAAGAATAGAAAACTTGGGATGATAAATGCCTCAGCTAACACTTTGTAGTATCATGGCCCTAAAGTTCTGGTGCTTCGGGGAAGACTATGGACATTGTCCTGAGCCAATCACAGTTTCCCTTGGTGCTGTGGTCCTTCCACCATAGCCCATTGACCATTCTCACCTCATATGGCTTTGAAATCCTGAAATTTCTGCCTCTACTTTCTAAGTAGCATGATTACAGGCTTGTATCACCATGCCTGGCTTAGGTGGCTTCACCTTCTTTCAGTGATTCATCAGAAAGATGGTATAAGTTAGATGAGCAGTTACACTTAACAATATTGAAAAACAACTTATCTTTGTGAGCCTTGGTTTCATCATATATAGAATAAGGGCAGAACTCTGATCTAGTCCCTTGATGAGTTGTAATAGACTCAGTGATAAAGAAAAACAATGTTGCTCATATTTGAAAGACAGTGGACTTTAAGGTAGGAGGACTGCATTTGATGGGAGCCTTCTGTTGCTGGAGTTAGGACAAGAGCCTGTGTCCTGGCTACCCTAACCAGCCAGCCACAGCAACTCATCTTTACTTAAGTCACTCATCCCATTTAAAAAACCAAGTTATGGCAGGAGGTGGTGTCATACACCTTTAATCCCAACACTTGGGAGGCAGAGGTAGAAGGATCTCTGTGAATTCAAGGCCAGCCTTGTCTACAGAGCTAGTTCCAAGAGAGCCAAGGCTACACAAAGAAACCTTGTCTCAAAAAAAAAAAAAAAAAACAAGTTAGTTGTTTGTGGTGTACCCACCTATAATTCAGGTACAGTGGAGGCAAAGTGGGCAAATCTCTCTGATGTTCTAAAAGAGTCTAGACTACATAGTGAGTTCCAGGCCAGTCATAGATTCATAGTGACACTAAAAAAAAAGAAAACAATAGAAAAGAAAAAATAGTAAATTTATTAATAAAAAACAGAAAAACATGATATTTTTTCAATGTGATTAATTTGGAAGAGAGATGAAGATATAAGGTAACTAATCTATCTTTGGATCCTAAGGATGGTTTAGATAGAAGGCAAAAGACATGCAAAACTAAGTAATCTAAGCCAGCTCCTCAGCTCCTTTCTCTCCTGAAAGGTATTCAGATGATGAGTAAATATTTCTTCAGTAGAGACATTCTCATCTGGAAGACTCAGTCTTTTCCCACAATGAGATTTCTACAGAAATTAGAATGTCATTTATGGTGATATTTTATTTGTACTGAAATGTGATTTTATTTGCATGTTAATAAATAAAGTTGCCTGGGGGTCAGAGCTAATAGCAAGCCATAACAGAAGTCTGGCAGTGGTAGTACATGCCCTTAATCCCGATCACATGACAGGCAGATCTCTGTGTGTTCAAGGATACCACAAGCATGGAGACACATGCCTTTAATCTCAATACCAACCATAGAAGACCTGGAGGTCTGTACAGACAGGCAGTGATGAGGAGGTCATGTGGTTGGGTTTACAACCAATGAGAAGGCAGAATAGAAAGTCAATAAAAAAGACAAACACATAGGAAGTAGCTCTCTTGCTGAGGGAGGACAGCAGCAGCAGTAAAGGGTAAGGTTTTTAGCTCTTAGCTATTGCTCTGACATCTTGGGTTTTCATCTCTGCATTGGCTCTGTGTTTCTTATTTAACAAGACAATTACATCTACAGTCATTGACTCCACTATTTCACTTGCTGTTAGCTAAAGGGAGAGTTATAAACGTCTCATTAGAATATCCTTATTCCTACTAGGAAGGTAGGTTTCAGGAACTGACAGAATAGGGGCTGAGTAGCTTTAAAGTCCAAGTGAGGAATGCAAAGTTGGGGCCTGCATGGAATTGTCACTGACAGCTGTATGTAGTTGCCAAAAGTGGGTAGGGAAGTAGAAGACCTGGAAGGGGCTGACCCACAACAGCTGAGTTAAAACAGAGAGCACAGTAGGAGACAGTTTTTCCTTAAGTATACCCTAAGCATTGCTTTGTGGAATTTGATCCTCATGCTTTCACACCCAGAGCTCCATTCCTAACAACTCCTCCAAACTCCACAGCTCTTTGTAAATGCCTAACTGTCCAAGACTTAAGAGTGACTTAGCCACTTTCATGGTGACCCTTTATTGCTCTGGAAGCATAAGCAAAATTAAACTCTTGTAAGTTGACTTAGACATTATGTATTATCACAGCAAGAGAGAAGGCACTAATACACATCCATAAAGTCTTTTCTCTTTCAGTTCTTTGTGTCTTTCACATCATGCATCATGATCATCATTTCTCCATCCCTCTCTGTCTGCCCTCTCCTTTGCAACCTCCCCAACAAAATAAAATAAAATAAAATTTAAGACAAATGAGAAAAAAATCAATCTCATACTGAAAGCTATAGTGTGACACAGCGAGTCATGCAGTAAACCCTTTTATTCATAAATTTTTACTTGTGTTTATTGCAAAGAGTCATTAGTCTAAGTTCAAGGCCTTTGGTTTCCACTATACTATCAATGGTGGATGCTTGCTGGGACTCCTCTTGGATATCCTGCTGTTGCCCTGTGTCATGGAGATCCTGCAGCTTTTGGTCTGCCAAACTGGCACCTTCATGTGCTCCTACAGATCACAGAAGGAGTGGGCCAACTCATAACCCTGGTTCTGGCCCTGGGTAGTTGCAAGGTTGGTCTTCTGGCCAGCTCTCCCTTGTCCTCACCTCCAAGATGAGCTCTCCAGCAAGCCCTGGCTAGTTCACCGCTTGCAGCAATGAGCAAGAGGCAGAGCCAGTTATCCTGCTTTCATGTCCTCAGGGTGAGCTTTCCCATACTTACAACCATCAGGGCCAGCTCTACTGTGTTGCCCAGGTGAGGTGCAGGGGCCACTCTCCTGAGTGCTACAGCTGATGAGCAGCAGAAGCAGCTCTCCTGCTCTTAGGACCTCAGGGCCAGTTCTCCCACCCATCTCAGGCAGAGAAGGGCAGGGGGGAATCTCTCCCCTGCCCATGCCAACATATGGCAGATGAGGGGTGGGCCCAGATCTCCCATGCTCACATTCTTTGGCCTGCTCACCCCCAGCACCATCAACAGGTTCAGCTCTGCAGTGCTGCCTAGATAAGATGCAGGGCCTGCTTTCCCAAGTGTTGTACCTGGTAAAGGGAGGGTCAACTCCCTTGCTAGCTAGAAGCAGTCAGGCAAGGGCATCTTTCCCTTAACCACACAACTATACCACAGACAAGGGAGGTGGTACCAGCTGTGCCCCTCTCAGTCCCTCAGGGCTGGCTCACCTGTGACCTTGTTTACAGGATCTTCTCTACTGTGGTGTCCAGGTGGGAATACAGGGCTCATTCTCCTTAGTGCTGGAGCCAGTGAGGGGTTGAATCAGGTCCCCTACCTACTGCAGGTATCAAGGGGTGAGAAGAGGTATCATTCCCTCACCAAATGGCAGGAGAAACCTGCTCTCCCAATCTCACATCCTTAGTTCCAGCTTGCCTTTGCCCCTGCAAACAGAGTCAGCTTCATTGTGCTGCCCAGGTGAGATGTAGGACCCTCTCTCCTGAGTGCTTCAGCCAGTGAGGGGCAGGACCAGTTCTCCCTAGTGTTGTAGCCAGTGAGGGGTGGGACCAACTCTGTACAGCCCTATCTTCTCAGCGTTCAGTGGTATCAGGAAGCTTGGACATCAAAACAGAATGCAGCTGCATTGAGGCCATGAAACCAGACATGGGTTCTGGCAGCAGCCCAGGCCCAGACATCACCATGGCCCTGGGTAGCAATCAATCCACCTACTTCAGGCTGCTTGTCACCTCTTTCAGATATACCTCTGTCCATAGGACATGAACCATTCTGGCTCTCTCCCATACCACACCATACATTCGCTCACCACAATAGTGCCTATCTGTCTGGTGCTGCATGTAGGTCTCCTTGTTCCACTCAGTCTGTTGTGGTGCTGGGAAGGTCCCTGCTTCCAAAAATTAAGATGGTGACTGAATGCCCAGTGCCAGAGGACCACCAGGCCTAGAAACAGTGGTTGGCTCATGGGTGAGATCCTTCCCACCCCAAGTCTAGTGACCAGAAGCAGAGCAGTGTTTGTCCCCTGGGTCTGCCAGGTCTAGTAATGACAGGTGGCTTAAAGGTGAGATTCTTCCTGCCCCAAGTCTAGTGACCTTGGGCAGAGCTGTGTTTGCCCTCTGGGGTCCACCATGCCTATAAATGGCAGGCACATCCATAGTTATACACCTGGATTGTTATTTTATGTAATTGAAGAGAAGTATGAAATCTAAAAGCATTACCTTATTGCTTAAATTCATAGGGCTTTTGTCCATATGCATTTGCAGGTGCAAACAAAATAAAGAGGGACATGATAACACTTGAATGCTGATATTGTCAGATTCTTTTCTACAGAATAATCTTGTGTATCTGAATTTAAATGTATTGGCTAAAGATATTACCAAATTCTTTACAGTCAGATTCCCTTTGGTATGAGTTGGTTCAAGTCCTCAAAGACACACTGTGATATACAAAGGCTTGAAAAGACCAATTTCACACTTAAAGTTTTATGCTTATATAAAAACTACCATGAATTGTAAAACTTTTTTGCACTGACTACTACATTTATAGGGTTTCTCAGCACTGTGATTTTTTTTCTAATGATTTCAGAGACTACTGACATACACAAAGGCTTTATCACATTGATTATATTTGTAGAGTTTCTCTCCAATGTGTTCATTTTTGTATTTGAAGATTACAGTGATGTGCAAAGGCTTTATTTTATTGCACTCATTACATTGGTAGGGTTTCTCTCCAGTATGTGTTTCTTTACATATTTGAAGATAAGTGTGACTTTCAAAGGCTTTAACACATTGATTACGTTCATAGGGTTTCTCTCCAGTGTGCATTCTTTTATATATTTGAAGATGACTGTGAGTTTCAAAGAAAAGTGTGACTTTCAAAGGCTTTACCACATTAATTACATTCATAGAGCTTCTCTCCAGTATGTGATCTTTTATATATCTGAAGATGGTTGTGACATCTAAAGGCTTTACCACATTGACTTCACTCATAGGGTTTCTCACCAGTATGCGTTCTTTTATGTATTTGAAGATTGCAGTCACGTGTGAAGGCTTTACCACATTGATTACATTCATAAGGTTTCTCTCCAGTATGTGTTCTTTTATGTATTCGGAGACCACTATGACATGCAAAGGCTTTAGAACATTGATTACATTCATAGGGTTTCTCTCCAGTATGTATTCTTTCATGTATTCGGAGATTACTGTGCTGTGAAAAGGTTTTATCACATTGATAACATTTATAGGGTTTCTCTCCAGTATGTGTCATTTTATGTATTTGAAGATGCGTGTGATGTGCAAAGGCTTTTCCACATTCATTGCATTCATAGGGTTTCTCTCCAGTATGTGTTCTTTTATGTGTTCGGAGATTACTGTGTTGTGAAAAGGCTTTACCACACTGCTTACATTCATAGGGTCTCTCTCCTGTATGTGTTCTTTTATGTATTTGGAGAATAATGTGTTGTGAAAAGGCTTTATCACATTGATTACATTTGTAAGGTTTCTCTCCAGTATGTGTTCTCTTATGTGTTTGTAGATGACTGTATTGTGAAAAGGCTTTACCACATTCATTACATTTATAGGGTTTCTCTCCAGTATGCATTCTTTTATGTATTTGGAGAATAAGGTGTTGTGAAAAGGCTTTATCACATTGATTACATCTGTAGGGTTTCTCTCCGGTATGTGTTCTCTTATGTATTTGTAGACTACTATGTTGTGAAAATGCTTTATCACATTCATTACATTTGTAGGGTTTCTCTCCTGTATGTGTTCTTTTATGTATTTGAAGATGACTATGATATGCAAATGTTTTACCACATTGATTACATCCATAAGGTTTCTCTCCAGTATGTGTTCTTTTATGTATTTGAAGATGACTGTAACATTCAAAGTCTTTACCACACTCATTATATTTGGATGGTTTCTCCCCAATATGAGTTTTTTTATGTATTCTGAGATTACTGTGAAATACAGAGGCTTCAGTATATTGAATACAACCATAGGGATCATCTCTAGTAGGAATTCTTTCTTGTCTTTGAAGATGATCGTGATATGCAAAGGCTTTAACACAATGAGTATATTCAGAAAGTTTCTTCTCAGTATGACTTCTTTCATACCTGCAAGGATAATTGGTACATGTAAAACTTTTACCACATTCGTTATATTAAATATTTACATCTGAATGAATTAATTTTACAATTTGGTCTAACTGTAAAAAGGAATCAGATCTTAAGGCTTTGCCACTTTGTTTACACTCATGGTGTTCCCCTTCATTAAGGTTCTTTTGCATCTTTGAAGATACCTGTGATGGTAAGAGCCATTATTACATGGCTCACAGTTATATTATCTTTTTTCTGTACGAGTTTTTTCACATATTTCAAGAGAACTAGAAGAACTAAGAGTATACCACACATACTAGATTATTAAATTTTCCTAAAGTGTGAGTCATACTATATTTGCAAAGTGAAACAGGACAAACAGAAGTTTTCACACATTCCAATACTTATAGGGCTTTTCAGCAGTGTCAGTTTATTGATGTATTTCATATGAAGTTGGAAAACCAATTAATTGTAAACTTGTATCAAATTCTACAGGTCTACTCAAAGTGGGGACAATTACATATCTTTTCATTGTTCTTAGAATAAAAGAGGTATGCTGCTCATTTTCATATTTCACATGGCTCACATGGCTTGCATCCAGAGTGACATATGTTACATCTACTAAAGGAAGACTAACAAATAAAAGGTTTCCACATTGCCTTCACACAATTCGACTTTCTGTTCCTCAAAGACATATGATATAGGAATTAAGGTTTCTCCAAAACAACCTTCTTGACTCACATGAACTGCCCCCTCATTAAATTTAGCAAAGTCACTACAAGTATAGGAGTAACACCAGCTTTACTCTGGACTACTTGCCTATTAGGAGATTTTGGACATATGCTTATCACCTATTCAATTGTGTATACATTTGCAATATCTGAATGGTATGTAACTAAATGGATTGGAAGTTCTATAATATAGGTCTCATGGGGCTATGATTCAAATGGTGATATACTTAAGTCATTGTGTCCTTGTCTTTTTTCTTATATGAATGCCTGGCAACTACAGATCAGCTAGCTGACATTGAGGTATATAGCTTTGTGAGACTTTCATAATCACCAATACAGTTTAAGCTGTGTTTATTTATAGTTTCCTTCCTTTAACACTTCTGGGACACATTATAATTTCTTCAGAGGCACATTTGTACCAGCTTGAACATAAAAATTACCTTCCATGTATTCTAGAACTTCCACAATCTTCTTCAATATTATGGTCTTCACAACTGTAGCCTAAAATATAGTAGCAGAAAATGTATGATATATTATTGGAAACTGTGCGAAATTTAACTTACTATCTTCACTCTACCTTAGAACCATGCCTGATTTCTTCACCTCATTTTTCCTCTTTCTAAATCAAAATTATAGGAGAGTATGAATAACCAAAAAACAGTTATTCCATTATTTTAAAATGTGAAGGAAAATTGAGTCTTACCTATATCTGTGAGGTTCCTATAGATCTCCAGCATCACATCTTTGTAGAGACTCTTCTGGGAAGGATCCAGCAAAGCCCACTCTTCCCAAGTGAAGTTGACATGCACATCATCATAGGTCACTTCATTCTAAAATATCCCACACATGTGAACAAAAGAAAATGTGATACTGACAGCACTGTAAATTAATATCTCTTTATCAATGTAGTTATATAATTCTGGTGCTTTCCACTCTTATTCTATTACACAGAAGTTCTAATATAATCACCAAGTCACTTTAGAAGGAAACTGAATAGGAAGTTCACCTCTGTCATTTCTGAAACCATTGAAAACGATATAGCGGCTAGGCCCTGGGGCACAACCTGTGCCCTGGAACCCCCACCCATTGCTACCCCAGTTGCCAGCCAGCAGGGAAGACTCCTGTGGGCAGGCTTCCCCACCAATACCCCCATCAGAACTTGCAATCTACAAGACCCACTCCTTACTCCAAACCCACCCATCATCCTGCAACCACAGTGGCTTCCTGAGATACAGAATCCACCAGCTCTGATTGAACCAAGAGATGAGTGACTCTTTTCCTACCCAGAAAGTCCTGCCTCCAGGACGAAGGCTTTGGGGCACAACCTGTGTACCCCACCCCCATCCACCACTGTCCCAGTTGCAGAACAGCAGGAAAGACTCTTGCAGAAAGGCTTCCCCACCAATACCCCCGATCGGATCCTGCAGTTTGCAAGACCCACTCCCTACCCCAAACCTACCCATCTCCCTGTGACCTCAGCATCTTCCTGAGACACAGAATCCAACAGTTCTTTCTGATTGGACCAAGAGCAGCTCCCTAAGACACAGAATCTACCAGCTTCAATTAGACCAAGAGCTATGGACACAGCAAGCACAGATTGGACCAAGAGCAGCTCCCTCAGACACAGACACCTCTTGCACCTATTGGAGGAAGACATTGGTAGACACCAGTACAAAAATGCATACAATAACATAAAGAGCAATATGGCACCATGAGAACCTAGCATTTCCACAACAGCAAAACCTAAACATCACAACACAGAAGAAGCAGAAGAAAGTGCCCCTAAAAACAAATTTATGATGATGATAGATGTCTTTAAAGAGGAAATGAAAAATTCCCTTAAATAAATTAAGGAAAAGACAAACAAAAAATTGCAAAAAATCAATAAATCCCTTGAAGAAAGTCAAGAAAAAGCAATTAAACGGGTGAAGGAAACAGTTCAAGACCTGAAAACTGAAATAGAAACAATGAAAAAGACACAAAGCAAGGGAATGCCGGAAACAGAAAATCTGAGTAAATGAACAGGAACTACAGATGCAAGCATAACCAACAGAATAAAAGAGATGGAAGAGAAAATCTCTGGCATGGAGAATACAATAGAGGAAATAGATTTGTCAGTCAAAGAAAACACTAAAGCCAAAAAGCCATAAGACAAAACATCCAGGAAATCTGGGACACAGTGAAAAGGCCCAACCTAAGAATAATAGGGATAGAAGAAAGGAGAAGAATACCAACTCAAAGGCACAGAAAATATGTTCAACAAAATCATAGAAAAAAACTTTCCCAACTTAAAGAAGAAAATACCTAGGAAGATACAAAAAGCTTACAGAACACCAAATAGACTAGACCCACACACACACAAAAAGTCCCCTCATGACATAATTAAACCACTAAACATACAGAATAAAGAAAGTATATTAAGAGCAGCAAAAGAAAAAGGCCAAGTGACTTATAAAGGCAGACCCATCATAATAACACCTGACTTCTCAAAGGAGACTAAAAGCCAGAAGGTCCTGGACAGACTTAATGTAGATAATAAGAGACCACAGATGCCATCCTGACTACCATAGCCAACAAATTTTTCAACCACCATAGATGAACATGAAGTGAACGAGACATTCCAAGACAAAACCAGATTTAAATAACACCTATCCACAAATCTAGCCCTATAGAAAGCACTAGAAGGAAAACTCCCACCTAAGGAAGTTAGATGTACCCATGAAAACATGGGCAATAGATAATCCCATGGCAGCAAATCCGAAAGAAGGGAAATACACATACTACCACCAAAATAAATAAATAAATAAATAAATAAATAAATAAATAAACAGGAATTAACAATCATTGGTCATTAACATCCCTATTTAATATCAATGGACTCAATTCACCAATAAAAAGACAAAGGATAACAGAATGGATACAAAAAGAGGATCCATCCTTCTACTGCATACAAGAAACACACTTTAACTTGAAAGACAGACATTAGCTCAGAGTAAAAAGTTGGGAAAAGACTTTTCAATCAAGTGGACTTAAGAAGCAAGCTGGTGTAGCTATACTAATATCTAACAAAACAGACTTCAAACTAAAATCAATCAAAAGAGATCGAGAAGGACATTGCATATTCATCACAGGAAAGATCCATCAAGATGAAGTCTCAATTCTGAACATTTCTGCCCTGAATACAAGAGCATGTGTAAAAGAAACATTACTAAAGCTTAAATCACACATCGAACCCCACACACTAATAATGGGAGACTTCAACACCCCACTCTTACCACTGGGCGGGTCTTTTAGACAGAAACTTAAAGAGAAATAAAGGATCTAACCATTCACCCCTCACTCAAAAGAGGCATCTATTAGACTGTGGGAACCAAGAGAATGGTCACAGCATTTGGCCAACAAATGGCTTACTGATGGCTCATGAACCACTGATGGAACCAAAACCAAATGGAAAGCAGCAGCTTATAGACCAGGGGAGGGAATGGCTAGTACTGAGGAAGGAATCACCAAATCAGCACAACATGCTGAAGTAATAACAGCACTGATAACTGTAAGACAAACAGCTCAGGAAGACAAAAGGAAAATTTATATCCTCTCCAATTCATGGTGTGTGTGCAATGGTATAGCTATATGATCATCAAAATGGAAAACCACTAACTGGCAGATAAATGACAAAGACATTTGATCAAGGGAGGCATGGATGGAAATAGCAATGCACAGCAAAGACATTAAAATTTATGTAACTCATGTAAACACGCACACAGGCAAGACAGACAACACATCTAGAAATAATGAAATAGCAGACAAATTAGCATCCTTTTCAATTCAGATTAGAATAATAAAACTTCCTAGGGAACCAATTCAGAATAAATTATCAAGGATGATAGATCACACACTTGGTAAACTTGAATGTTTACCCCTAACACTAAAAAATGAGGTGAAATGGAGAACCAAATTAAATCAGGACAAATCTATGAGAATAACTATTAAAAGGAACCCAGATTGGAAAATTAAGAAACCTGAGAATGTTAGCATAATTAGTAAAGAAGAAATCCTAAGATCACATAAAACAATGGGACATTTAGGCTCACATGTTTTGTTCCAATGGTTTAATAAAAGGAACCTTAAGTTATCCTGGCAGCTCTGTAAAGAAGTCAATAGAGTAGAACTGAATTGTATTGCAAAATAAAAATAAAAAAATTAAATAAAAAAAAAAGAAGTCAATAGAGACTGCCACCTTTGTCCAGCACTTAAAACTAGATTCAGACATGATCAACCAGCTGTAACATGGTCTCCTAAACAGTTTAACTACACACTACAAATAGGTTTCATTGAATTCTTGAATATTCACAGGGGCCTATCTACCCTCATAGATATAAGCACAGGACTCGGATTCGCTAGAGAAAGTCATGGACCAGACCAGTTGGCAACAAATATACACTCTGGTGTTGAATAGCCAGATACAGCTGCCTAATCACTATTGAGCAGATCTAGGAACACACTTTACAGGTTCTAAAGTCCAGAAATGGTTCCAGACTATAGACATACAGTGGGTCTTCCATTTGGCAAATAAGCCAACTGCAGCTGGCAATATAGAAAGATAGAATGGACTGCTTAAAAACCAAATTCTTATAACTCAAAGACACCTTGAAAAATGATATTGAAGTTTACATGCTATGAGTTAAATACTAGACAAAGATTGAATAGAGCTTCTCCCATAAAAGACACTTAAGTCAGACTTGGAGATAGAATAGCAACCAGGTATTTCCTGACTGTGCAGAATAATTCCCCATAAACATTCTCAGGACAGAAATCCTTGAGATTTAAAGGAGACAGAAGTCATGGTGTCAGAAGTAGGCAATACAATCTGGACCACAGACAAAAATGGAAATGAGAAAATTAGAAAATTGGATGACCTACAAGCATAATGTGTCTCAGACCTAACCCAATAACTGGGTTTGCACTTTTATAAGGATAGTAATAGTCTTAGAATTATTTTACTGAGCTCTGGTGCTAACTGGACCAGACAGAGAGGGAAATAGAACATGGCAAGGCAGAGTCATAACAAATTACACCCTGTGCCTCATAGAAACTTCAACAAGAAAATGAAAGATAACACAACATGGAACAACACCATAGTATCAATCTGCTGGGCCAAGGAACCCAGAGCATTATTGTTGGGACTCTTCCTGTTGAATTCTGTAAATTTAACCCTTTGTTTCCTAGTTGGGAGGTCCTGCAGTCAAACAAAGGTCACACTCAAACAGTAACTGTTGTTAAAGCAAAAGGAGGCCATGGATTAGAAAACAATGAAGGGTCTATGAGAGGTATGGGGGCAGGAAAGATAATGAAAATGATGTAATTACAACCCCAATAAATATTGTTAAAAATTTGAAACAGGCTTTATGGCCATGTGTTCCAGAGACTAGGGATTGTATTAGAGCACACCAAGTACTACTCATGCCATTTCTCTCGGGTTGTATATCTTAAACCTGGAAAACACAGTCCTGTTAGGCAAGGCCACTCCATTTTACCCAGATCTTCTATTTTGGTTCAACGAGAGTAACTACAGTAATTTGGTTTCATGAAAGTTCAGTTCTTTATCCAGATTCTTGATTTCCTGGTCTGAGAATCCAAGAAATGGCCTGTCAGTACACTTATTGATCATCTAAGACTGATTATCTCACTACTCACTGCTAATGTCAACTACTGTTAGAGCAGGAAAGTTTTCACCCTCCTTCCTGCCCATCCCTTTATGTGCTGTGACTAAACCTGCTTCACAGCTGGTCAATGAACTCAATTCTTACACAGTTCCTTCTTCATTGTGTTAGTCCCAATAAAAGCCAGAGAGATTGGAAGACACTCATTCATTGGTCTATTTTTTTCCTCCTCACTGACCAGTCAAGGCCCAGCCTAGAAGATGTAGCAGGACTGTCTTCCCAGCACTGGGCAGCAGAGGCAGGATTAAATGTTCAAAGCAATTCTCAATTACATAGTCTGAGGCAAGCCTTAGTTATAGAAGACATTGATCTAAATCAGTGGTTCTCAACCTTCCTAATGCTGTGGCCCTTTAATAGAGTTCCTCATGTTGTGGTGACCTCCAACCACAAAATTATTTTCACTGCTACTTCATAACTATAATTTTGCTACTATTATGAACTGCAATATAAATATTTGTGTTTTCCAATGGTCTTAGGCTACTCCTGTGATAGGGTCATTTGATCCCCCAGTGGGAACTATAACCTCCCAGGTTGAGTACCACTGCTCTAAACTGATATAAATAAATAAATAAACAAATAAATAAGCACTCAAGAAAAAACTTGAATCAAGTTCTTAATGACTAAGAAACATTGGAAAATAGAAACAAATTAGAGCAGTAATGCATTTAAAGAAAATGAATTTTTTAAAAATGATACCAATAATTGACTTTTTTAAATGAAAAAATAATTGGAAGGACACTTAGCTATACTGACTTTGGAACAGAGTAGGCACTTCCCTGGTAGAGAGAATGCCATTAATAAGACACTGTATGACTTTGTCCCATTTAAAATGTTAGCTGCTGGGTGCTGTAAGCTGACATAGATTTACAGCCAATGGCCTGTGTCTCAAACCTCTGAGCTGACTTAACTGTGTCAATCAGGATTGCACATAAACGCATAGGAGAGTTCCCTAACTGGAAACGGAATACTCAGTAGTTCAAGCTAACCTCCCTGAATTGTACACCCACCAATTCTGTCTGTCTTTGTTAACATGGAAGGAATTAATACATGCCAGGAAATTACACAGAAAGTTACTCACCCTGCCCTGTCGTGGAATATTAGTTTAAGATGTGTTACATTTGTTTATGCTGTGAAATATTTGTTTAATAATATAAAGATGTACTGCCTTCCTTTATGTTGCATTTGTTTAACTCTGTAAAGCTGTGTTACTGTGCCTGTGTAAAACATCTGATTGGTCTGATAAAGAGCTGAACGGCCAATCCAATAACTAGGCAGGAGAGGAATAGGTGGGGCTGCCAGGCAGAGAGAATAAATAGAAGAGAGAAGAAAGAGGAGCAAGAAAAAGAGAAGGAAGAGGAGGACACAAGAGGCCAGCCATCCAGCTACCCACGGAGCAAGAAGGTAAGAAAGGAATATAGAGTAGAGAAAGGTAAAAAGTTCAGAGGCAAAAGATAGACAGGATAATTTAAGAAAAGCTGGCTAGAAATAAGCCAAGCTAAGGCCGGGCATTCATAAGGAAGAATAAGACTCTGAGTATTATTTGGGAGCTGGGTGGCGGGCCCTCAAACAGTGAAGTTTAAAAAAACCAACTTCACTGCCCCATTAGGTCCTTCTTTGTAATGGAGACCCCTGCAGCTCACTGCCTTCAACTTCAGCCTCTGATCTAGCTGTTGCCTAGTCTGTTTCTCCCTGCAGTGTGCACAGTACATTGTTCCTTCTCTTCTTGTCTGAAGGAAGAAGCCATGCTCCACATGTAAATCTTTTTCCTGTTACTGCAATGGACAGTCCACAATATAACTCAAACTGGTAATTTTATAACTCTGTAGTGTCGCAGACCTGTAATCTAAGAATTTAGGGGAACTATTCAGGGAGATAACAAGGGCAGTGCCCTGTGGGGTTACAGAGAGTGTTCACATCCACTTCAATAAACATAGGAGACCTTGACTCAAAACTAATTTTCCAAAAGTCTGGGGATGCAGCTGTTTTAGAATTAATATGCCTTTATGGCACACCAGGACTTAATGTTGTTTGTGACCCTGTAATGGCTCCCTGAGCAGCATGTTAGAGGCCTGTTCTTTGATGGGGGGTGGGTCTTTTGGTTGGTTAATCCTGGTGAATAAACATTTACATCTTATCATACCAATCTCTAACAAGCATGGTTCATGCTACTTATCTTTGGGGTATTTGGAAGGCAGCCCTCCCTTAGCTAAATTCTACTTTGTGTAACTTAATGTCTCCTAAGAATTGGTAAATTCTTATACCATCAATTCTAATTTTCTACATCACAGTTCAGCAGTCAAGTGCTACTCTACACAGGAGATATTGTTTACAAGCTCCACAAAATTAACTCCAAATGGATCCTAAACCTAAATGTTAAATTTTAAATGTGCTGAACTTCTAGACGATACTAGAGAGACCAGGCCTTTCCGAGTTTGGCAAACCTGCCTTCCATCGGGACAATACAAGCACTACAGGAGTCAGCATTTCACAGTGACGTCAACAAGGTTATTTCTAAGCACAGTCCTGCTGCCAGTTCCCTGCACAGATGCAGCCCATGGAGTGAAGTTATTCAGAGGCTGACACCCGGGACCATGCAGGACTACGCAGGTACACAGGACCAGGCACACAGGACCAGGCAGGCACACACCAAACTCTGCTTCTCGCCGCTGGCTCCCACCTAGTCGGGGGAGGTCCCACCACATGGGCTCCCACAGCTCAGCTGGCTGCTCCGTCCAATCTGGGGCCAGTAGCCCCTCGCTCACCATGGCTGGCCACTCCTCCTCATCTGGGGACATCAGCCCCTCACTCACCATGTCGTGGCTGCTGAGCTCACCCACGCTGTTCCCACAGCGGAGCCCAGAATGCAGCACAGCAGCCAGTTTCCGACTTCCCCTGCAGAGGAGCTGAGCCAGAAGCCTGGTGCCCGGAAGCACCCTCCCATCCAACTGGCGGTCCGCTGGAGGCTCTGATATGCTAGTGAGGCCTGAGTGACAGGATCTGGTGAGCTGAAGGGACACAGCATGGTGGTTCCCAGCCCTGGCTTCCATCACAAGCACAGACTGAACCAAATTCACCAGCAAGTTTCTTGTTAATGTAAACCAATGGGTTCAGTTTTAAAAAGTATACAAATTCAGAAGGAGGCTAATCAGACAATGTTGCTCAAAAGGAACACAGGGCATCTCAACAACATTATAAACAAAGGCCACAGTGGTGATGGGACTGAAAACCACAGTGCCATTTGTGGGGAGTTGGGTTCTCAAGATCCGAAGCAACCCCTTCCCAAAAGCCCTGGCCCCAGAACTCTACCAGCTCTCCCAAGCATATTCCTGGTTTTAGTGAAGGAATTCTGTTTACCCTCTAAACATCCTGACCTTAGAGAAACCTCCCAAGGCCTAGGAAGGTTGCCAAACTTGGAAAGGCCTAGTTTTTCAAGTATCTTCTAGAAGTTTTGCACTTCCCATTTGACATTTAGGTGTAAGATCTATTTGGAGTTAATTTTGTGGAGGTTATAAATGGTATCTCGTGTACTGGGTAGCTAACTCCACTACTGAGCTGTGATGTAGAAGAGTAGAATTGGTAATATAAAGTATTTGCCAGTGCTTAGGAGGTAGTAAGTCACACAAAGTAGAATTAGCTAAGGGAGGGCTGCCTCTAAAATATCCCAAAGATAAGTAGTATGTTAACCAGACCTGTTAGAGATTAGGATGTTAGCATGTAAATGTTTGTTCACCTTTTAGGTAAACCGTTATTGGTCACATGCCTGTGGTAAAAACAGCTAATAAGATGCTCATCCATGGAGAGGAAAGAGAGAGACCCTCTGCACAAAGATCTCTTTATAGTAAGCTAGAGCATCATAGTTTTAAGAGAGATTTCTTAGTTGTATTGTACTGGATGCTATAAACATCAATTCAATAAGGTTTTGTTATATATTTGCTGTTTCTTTGTATCACCTACATACATTCATTAAAAACCAAAAACATGGTTATAGTAGTGATGCCATGTATTATATGAAAACTGTCTTGTGTTTTCTCGAACATTTAGTTTAACAGATTGTACCTAGGAAATAGTAATTATACAGTTTTTGTTCAGCTTTCTTATATTCAATTCTTGTTGCTCAGCACTATCTTAAGACAAACAATTGGCACCTTCCTATGATCACAAATGATATGCTTGTTCACAAAGGGTGACCACCACCAGGTTGGCTGACTGCTATTCCATCATGAAAGAAGGTATCCCCTCCTTCTGAGTATCCAGACTCTTTCCCAGGCAAATGAAGGCAATTCAGCCCTAATGACATGTGTCTTTGTGGTTTTAGGGGAGGAGCTAGAGTACATAGCCTGGAAAAGACTTGGAAGGAGGTGGATTCTGCATTTGCACCTATGAAAGCCATCTTGAAAGTGGGAATTTACCTTAAGTGCTATCACGTTTACCTCCTATGTATACCGAGAAATGTAATACAATGCTAGAGTACATGGGCAGTGGAAGAGTCGAGAGAAGGTGAGCTCCACATCTGCAGCTATGGGAGAGCCATTGTATATTCTGGGTGGAGATATTCCTGTGTGGCTCCTTTTGGGTTTTTCTCCTAATTAGAGTTTCTATTGCTGTAAAGAGACACCATGACTATGGCAACTTATAAAGAAAAACATTTCATTGGGGCTGGCTTACACTTTCAGAGGATTTAGTCCATTATTGTCATGGTGGGAAGCATGGTGGTGTGCAGACAGACCACGGTGCTGGAGAAAGAGCTGAGAGTTCTGCATCAGCAGGCAGCAGAAAATGACTGTGACACAGTTCCTCCAACCACGCCACAGCTCCTAAGAGAGCCACTCCCTATGGGACTATGAGGGACATTTTCATTCAAACCACCACAGTATCCAAAGTCCTGTAAGAATCTCCTCCACCACGTTCAGTAAGGAAGCTCAGTAAACTCACTGGTTCCCCAGGGTGGACTTGGTCAAATTGTACTTTGCATTGTCACTGGGATGTACAAAAGTTTATTGAGTTATGTCTGGCTATTGAAATAGTATACTGTAGTAAAAAGTACCAAAATGGTGTAAAACTGATCTTCCGAGTGTTTCATAATCATTCTTGGAGGCTATTCTAATGTCAATGAGATCCACAGAGGAGAAAATTCTCACAACAGATCATAAATATATTTGTCAATGTTCCTCTATCTCATGGTTTTTAAAAAAAGAAGCACTATATACAAGAACATGTTAGAAGAATGTAAATATGGAAATGGCCTTTGTAAAGAACTTAGACACATGAAGATGATGATGACTGGATGGCTCCAGAATAAAAAGACTGGAAAGCTTTTGCAAGTTAGAAGGTCTGAGTAAATTGTTTAAGCTATATATAAAGGATGAGATTTAGAGACCATATTTATATTAACCTTTACAAGATCAGATATCAACTATTTCAAGGACTGGCTGAAATACATGTCAAACAAAAGTTTATTGAGTTATGTCTGGCTATTGAAATAGTATACTGTAGTAAAAAGTACCAAAATGGTGTAAAACTGATCTTCCGAGTGTTTCATAATCATTCTTGGAGGCTATTCTAATGTCAATGAGATCCCTGGGGACTAAGATTGATCACTTGTTCTCTTATTCATGGAGGCCATGACAACCCTACTCGATGAATCTGAAACATTATCCAGTCTACAAAAAGGGGAGTCATTGTGGGAAAGGTTTATTCAAGGCTTCAAAGGAAGAGACAGTACATAAACAAAATCTTTCACTTAACCTCACATTGATGGACAACTGGTAAAAGGAAGGCTAGAAGAGGGCTGAAGAGATGGCTCAGTTCTTTCAGAGGTCCTGAGTTCAATTCCCAGCAACCACAGGGTGGCTCACAACCACTTGTAATGAGATCTGGTGCCCTCTTCTGGCCTGCAGGAACACATGCAGGCAGAATACTGTATATATAATAAATAAATAAATAAATCTTAAAAAAAAAAAAAGAAAGAAAGGCTAGAAGAGTCTGAGATTCCCCTGAAGCCCAAGTGACCCCTGAGGACTAGTTGCTCAACTGGTCTAGACAGCACAAACAGAAATATTAATTTTGGCCACTTGCATGGTCTTCAGCATTCAGGAGGAAAAATTTAACCAAAGACTTAGGGAATTAGTAACAACCCAAGGGATTACACTCCACAGACATTAGACTTAAGTCTGCATGAGATGTTATTTAGACAACCAATTTCACTAATATTATCTTCTTCACAAAAAAGATGTTGCCCAGATGTGAGACATTAGATGTTGGCTCACTGAGCACCTGCCCACAGCCATGGAAGACAGGCCCATGACTGTTTTAACCTCAAAATTAAATGATGGCTAAGTACATCTTCTCTCCCTATCCAGAAGCCACATGGGAGGGCATCATGCTGACTTTTGGCTGCTGAAATAGCTTTGAAAGGGTGTAAAAGCAAAGTGTGGGTTCATCACTCTGGAGAGCAACTGTAGAGGTCAAAGGGAAATATCTAAAGGATGGGGGCTACTGTGAGCCCATCGAGAATGCCTTCTGGACACTGGACATTTTAGTCCTTTCTAGACACCAGTAAAGGGATTCCTTTCTTGTGTATATCTGAGTTTGGTCTTTACAAGAGACCCTCTAGAAGGGTATCCCAATACTGCCACCTGATACCCAAAATTAAGCTGGAAGAAGCCAGATTGGTCATTGTTCCAATCCCATAATGTCTGTTAGGGTTACCTCTTCCAAGGGAGGCAGGATAAGAATCGTAGATAGAAATCAACTAGGCAGCCTAGGGTAAGAAGAACCCAAAGAAAAGAAACTACTTGCTTTCTTGACTAAAAGCCAGAAGTGTCACTGAGACTCTAGCAGTTTCATCCTTGCCAGAGTCCAAAGATGCCAAAAGAGTTTTGGGAGCTCTGATCTCTGATGCTAAGTGATCCTGGGAGCCTTAGGAAGGAGGAATGTTAAAAGTAGTAAAGAATGTCTGTTAAGAGATAAAGGCCCTTGGCCAAGAGATTAGAATCTGTCCTGGATGCAGACCTAACTTTTCAATGGGGACAGGTCAATCTCCTGGCCAAGGAACCTGGTCTATGAAGCCCAAGAAATAACGACTCAGGACATTTATAGATCACCTATAACTGATTAACTGATTGCACATTGGTAATTCCAACTGCAGTCAAAACTGGAAACTTTTAAGGCTCCTTCCTGCCCCTCCCTTTCTGTACTGTGATCATAACAACTTGTAATGTGTGGACCATGAATTCCCATTCGAAGAAAGCACCTCTGCATTGCCACTCCCTGATAAAAACCTGGGCTGCATTAGGACACTCATTCCCCTGTATCTTTTTCCTTCTCACCGACCAGTCAAGGCCCAGCCTGGAATGACTGACAAACTTGGGCTTAGAGGCAGGAAAGAGATGGTGGAAATGATGTAATTATAGCCCCAAAAAAATCTACAAAAGTTGAAACAGGTCATGTGCTCAGAGACTAGGGATTTGTATTAGAGCACACCAAGGATTATTCGTGCCTTTTCTCTCAGGCTGTACAACTGTTCTGAGTGGTGGGTTCTAGAAAGGATTTCTCTATATAATAACTTTGGCTGTCTTGGAACTCACTTTGTAGACCAGGCTGGCCTCGAACTCGCAGCGATCTGCCTGCCTCTGCCTCCCAAGAGCTGGGATTAAAGGAGTGTGCCATGTCAAGCAGACAGTACATCTTAAATCTAGAAAATAACAATCCTATTTGGCAGGACCACACCATTTCACCCAGATCTTCTATTTTGGTTGAATTAGAGTAACTACAGTACTTTGGTTTCATGAAAGTTCAATTCTGTATCCTGATTCCCGATTGCCTGACCTGTTGCTGGTCAGGACACTTATTGATCATCTAAGATTGATTACCTCACTATTCATTGCTAATGTCAACTACTGTCACAGCAGGAAAGCTTCTACCCTCTTTCTTGCCCATCCCTTACTGTGCTGTGACTACACCTGCTTTACAGTTTATCAATGAACTCAATTCTAACACAGGTCCCTCTTCATTTGTAAGTTCTCAACAAAAGCCAGAGAGGTTGGAGGACACTCATTCACTGGTCTATTTTTCCTTCTCACAGACCAGTCAAGGCCCGGCCTGGAAGGAGTTGCAGGACTGTCTTCCCAGCCTCAGACAGCAGAGGCAGGATTAAATGTTCAAAGGAATTCTCAAATACATAGTGTGAGGGAAACCTGAGCTGCAGAAGAAAACTGCTCTGAATAGAAATATTGATCAACAGCACCTAAAGAAAAATAGAAAAAATTCTTAATAATCAGGAAACATTGGAGAACAAAACCAATAAGAGATTAGAGCAGTGATGCATTTAAAGAAAATCAAATTGAAAAGGTGAAACCAATAATTGACTTTTAAAAAAGATAAATATAATTGAAAAAACACCTACCTATCCTGACTTTGAAAAAGAACAGGCCATTTCCTGGTAGAGGGAATGGCATTAATAAATACTGTTTGACCTTGCCCCATGTGCAATGTTAGCTGCTGAGATCTGTAACCTGACACACACAGCTACAACCAATGGCCTGTGTCTCAACCTTCTGAGCTGCCTTCATTGTGCCAACCAGGATTGAACAAATCTGCAAAGGAGAGCCCTTAGTTGGAAATTCAAGATTCATTGGTTCAAGCTAACCTCCCCAAATTTTACATCCTCCAATCTGGCCTGGCATCAATTAATATATGCTTGGAAATTACAAAATCACTAACCCAGGCCATTTTTCATAATGGTGACTCCAGCAGCTGATTGCCTATCCTGTTTACTTCTACAATGTACACAAGAAACTATTCATCCTATTCCGGTCTGAAGGCAGAAGCCATGCTCCACACACAAATCCCTTTCCTCTGACTGCAATGGACAGTTGACTACATGACTCAAATGGATAATTTTAAACTCAGTGGTGTTACAGCCCTTTAATTTAAAAATTTAATTGGTTTAATCAAGAGGACAGTAAGGCTATTGCCCTGGGGAGCAACAGACTGGGATCAAGGTCATCTGAGTCAACATAAGAGGGTTTGTCTCAGAAACATTTTCTAAATGGCTAGAGGTATTGCTCTTCTAGAATTAATATGCCTTTCCGGGAGAAATCACTCCACACACTGAAAAGGTTAATAAACAAAAATCCCTTTAATAACAGTGTGCATCCAACTCTGGCTAATGCTAAGATAGGAGCCAGGCTAGAACAGATTTTGCATTTCATATATGATATCATCCTTAAGTCTCTTTTAGGATCATGTCCCAGGTAATACTTTCAACAATTTAAATAGGGACAGGAGATTACAGTTCTAGCCACTTAGACAGATGAAGATTTAGAGATCATACATTATGATCTACATTTAAAAGATATATCATTGCCTTTAATTCTCACACATACAAAGGGCAGAGAACACAAATACAGAAAACATCAAAGAAAAGTCCCCTATCAACATTGTGGATGCTATTCTTAGTTGAACAGTCCCGCTGAGCTATACCAACCTCAGAATAAGGCTGCTTTTTGCCTCTGAGCATGTTGGCTCAGATGAAGGCCATAGTTGCTTCCATACAGGACCAGAAGGAGTTCATTTTAACTAGCCCTGCCTGCTGTCTGTTACAGAACTGTGACATCACTGTAGAGAATTCCGTTTTTTTAAGCTTTAGCTTTGTTTTATGTAGATGGGTGTTTCCCTCCAAGCTTTTGTATGTAGTACCTGCAGAAGCCAAAAGAGGGCATCAGATCCCTCAGGACTGGACTTAACAGAAGATGTTTAGCTACCAGGTGGTTTCAGGGAATGGAAGCTGTGTCCTCTATAACAAGATCCAGCACTCTTAACTGCTAAACTATCTCTATAGCCACTTCTTTATTTAAAAATTATTTTCATACATTTTAATGAAAATATATTACATCGCTTTCCCCCTTCTTTGTCTTCTCTCCATCCTTTCCCAAATTTTTCCTTTCTAATATCTTCCTTGTTAAGCATGTTTGATTTATGCATAAATATATGCATAAAACCTGCTGATTCCACTTCTGTTGGTTGTATGTATACAGTTTCAGAGCTGAGCACATTGCATTAGATATGCAATTAGGGAGCTCGTCCCTGCCTGAAGCTAATTCTCCCACCTGCAGGAGAATTTTACTCTGTAATGAGCAACAAGAGTCTGACCCAGAAGTGACCTTGGCTGCCTTTGACAGGAAACATTATCAAGAACAGAAAATGTGAGGTGATAAATACCTCAGCTAACACTTTGTAGTGTCATGGCCCTGAAATTCTGGTGCTGGAGGGAGGAATATGGACATAGTTCTGAGCCAATCACAGTCTCCTTTGGTTCCATGGCCTTCTCGCCATAGCCCATTGACCATTCCCACCTTGGATGGCTTTGAAATCCTGAAATTTCTGCCTCCACACTCTAAGTACCATGATTACAGGCTTCTGTCACCATGCCCATCTTTGGTAGCTTCAACTTATTTGGTAGGGCATTAGAATGACAGGATGATTAAGATGAGCAGTTACACTAACTATAGTCAAAAACCACTTATCTCTGTAGGTCTGAGTTTCACCATCTGTAGAACAAGGACAGAACTTTGTGCAGGTCCTTTGATGAGTTGTAACAGACTCAATGATAAAGAAAAACAATATTGTTCATAGTAGGAAGACAGTGTACTTTAAGGCAGGAGGGTTGCATTTGAGGGAGACTTCTTCTGTTACTGGAGTTAGGACCAAAGCCTGTGCCCTGGCTACCATAACCAGCCAGTCACAGCAACCTATTCTTACTAAGCCAATTAAAAGAACCAAGTTATCCAGTTATGACATGAGGCAATATGAGCAAATCTCTCTGATGTCCTAGGATAGCCTAGTCTATAGAGTGAGTTTCAGGCCAGCCAAAGATTCATGGTAAGACTATTGTTTAAAAAAAATCAAAAAGAAAACATTAGAAAAGAGGGGGAA